AAAGTAACTATACCAGTGGATTGGTGATTGTGCGAAGAAGTACTTTTACACACTTTTACCTAACACACTACTTGCATTGTGGACCTGTGGAAGCAAAGAACTTTCGGAACCTCTAGAAGCAGTACTAAAGTCCCCCATAATCATGAAAGTATCCTTGCTAGAGAGTGAAAATTTAATCCAACATCTTAAAATATAAACCATGTTCTAAGCGTCTAACGGATAAGTGCTTATCAGCACAAGAAAGTAATAAGAATTTCACACCTGTACTGGCTTGTCTGGGTTAATTCCAGGAGGAAGTTGAGATGCACGAGCATCTTTCATCTTCAAATAGTTGTACACAACAACACCACATAAAGCTGCAAAAAAAGGGGGGTAAGAAAAGAAAAATAACAATTTTAGATCGCATAACAAAAACCAAAAACGAATTTTAAAGTTAAGCTGAAGAAGGCATACCTATTGCATAACCAGTTATGTTGAGACCTGTAATTACAGACTCGGGAAATAAAACTGTTGAAAGGGCAATCAGTATCCAATCTTTCATGACTCCAGCAACTCGGATAGTTACTGCTCCTGTTCTACCAATTACTAAGAAAGTTGAAATATTTAATGCCAGAGCTGATAGAGCATTCGAGAAAAAAATCCAGAAATTAAACTGAATCTGAGCAACTTCAATTCCGGGACTCTCCAGAATATACCAAGGAATAAACAGAAATACAAAGCTGCACAACAAGACAGTAATAACCAATGAGCACAACAACAAATTGAAGAAATTCAAAGTCCAACAGTTTGCTTGGATAATTAGATGGCAAACATTATTGTCGACAAATGCAGTGTGATTTAAGTAGCTTTTCTGGACAGCATCTGATGTATTTTGCTATTAACAAATGCCGAGGTGATACCCTCTTACTATTTGAAGTTGATCATAGATATGACATAAAACAGCTTTTCATAATATCGGTGTGAAAGTTGCCAACAGTCTAGTAATTCAGCAAAACACTGATGCAAATGTCATAGCCTGGGTTTTGTGCATAAAACTCGAAAGAACCAGAAATATAATAGTTAAAAAGAGATCCAACGTACCTGCATGGTGCTATGTAGTACAGGGTGGTGATAGGATTTAGTGTTAAACCCTTCTTCTGAAGAAGAACCTGTGTCAATACAAGCCTGAGGGCCTCCGCAACTATTCCCATGACCTGGTAAAGTGTACCCATCATATTGAAATGAATTTCGCCATACGAGGATATGGCAACTCCGACACTAATAAGCACCATATTCAAGAACACATCACATCTTAAAACATCTGTGCCCCAGAGAACAGCCACCAGGAATGTTGCAACTGGCACTGAAAATGCAAATAACAAAAAGTAAAATCCATTAAGTACATTGAAGGGACCAGGGGGAAAAAATGCTGTATTCATGAACTATTCACATACTTAGGGCTTTTAGCATCTGGATGAAGGCCACGGAGATGTACAGATAGGCGGTATTGCCAAACCTATACAGACAGAGAAAAGGCTTTAAAACTCAGTCGCACAGTGCAAGATGATAAAATTAAGTGAAAGAAAAGGAAGCATTTTTAGTTTCAGATGAAAGTTCACATGAAAGCTCATTACAAACTGTATAGATGAAAAGTAAAGGGATATTCAACAAAATATATCAGCACTAGTTACTGAAGCTGATTAACGTCAGTTTATCTCAAGTTTTGATTCTGTGAGGTTGAAATTACCAAACAAAACAAAATGAACAACAGTACAGCAGTAAATGAGCAGTAAACAAAGTAATCATGATTTCAATCCGGGTGGTATTCAGTCACCATGTTTCTAACAGAGTGCCTGATCAGGTGAGTTCCGGTGCCTATGGTTCTGTGACTAAATATCATTTTGGTAGAGTAGACTGATGAGAACTCCTATATTATTTCAACCTCAAAATCTGGAAAGAGTCAATCACAGCATCACACAGCCAATGTTGTTGCCGAACTGAAACATAATTGCTTAGTCACATAAGAAATTAACTCAACAATATACGCCACTTACCATAGACTTGACGCAAAGAAGGCACTTATTGGAACTACACATGTCATATATCTGCAAAGCGAAGAAAATTACTCAAAGGAGAAAATTATGGAGATAAGAAGAAAGGATCTGCTTGTAGCAGACTTACATTCTGAATGTCATTTTGATGGGAGAAACAACCTGCAAAACTACCAAAAGTAAAACTCTTTCCATGGAACAGTAATAATATTATGGTGAAAACAAATGAATAACAGAAATAGCTTGCCAAAGCATAAAGAAAAGAATAAGGCATTGATACCTAAGATCACAGCCTCGTTTCATAGTGATTATTGATAAACTCAAAGACAAAAACACATCTAAAAGAGTATTACTCATCATGGACCAACATATAACGCAGAACACTTTCAAAAGTCAGGAATTTACTCTGGGAGAGGCTACTAGCCAACAACTTTGTTGTCTTATTGTGCTGGACTTATAGGTTGTTGAGTATAACCATCCAATTCCACGATAAAGCACCAAGTAGCTTAAGAGTAAGAAATTTAGCATGAATAATAAATATAATAATTCATCGAGAGCACTTATCACATCCTCGTTTCTGTTCCTACATGTTTACCATCTAGATCACCTTACTTAAAACCACTTGGATCAGAGAAAAAGAGAAGAATTGTCTGAAGGTAGCAATTCCGCTAAACCTTAAAAAGAAGTATGGAATAAGTTATAAGAGAATGAAAAGAAAAGGCAATACAAGCTTCAATAGGATCATACCTTCACAATACGAATAAGAAAAAATGCCACCGCACCAGAAAAGCCCATGTGAATCATGGTGAGTGTAATTGGATATGGAAAGTTGAAGTAACGTGTGGACAGGAACCACTGCAAAAAATAAAAATCCCAACAAGACCATCCTTCAATATAGATGGAAAATCAGAATGCTTTCCTTTTTTTCGCCTTTCAACAGCAGACAGTCACGGAATAGGTAGTAAAGGACGACACCGAAACTGAAGCAAAATGCATTATGCAGAAAACAAAATAGGAATAGTGCATTTCTGTAACGAAATAAACTGAAATATGCCTTGCCTTGTTGTAGAGAATAACCCCCGAGGAAAGTGTGGTATAAAGCAGAAGGTATATATACGTCAAGAGATGCTGCTTGTTGATGATCATTTTGTACTCTACTGATATATATTCTAGTTCTACAGAAACCCTTTACTCAGCATTTCCTAAGAGGCTTCTACTTCAAGCCCAAAATTAAGAGGACACCAGTAGTTATCCGTGAGCTCAAATCATACAGCGCCCGTGATTTTGATTCGGAATTGAACAACAGGAACTCTTAAGCCTGTTGGGAAACAAAGATAAAACTAAAAAAAAAAAAAAAAAAGGGAAAATAAATAAATATGAAGTTGGTCATTAACAATCGAAACAAAAACAAGATATGCCACAATATCTCTAGTGCTTTTAGCAACCAATTAATACAGAAACGGAACAAAAAAATAATCAAGGTCTTGCCTGAAAGTCTGAAGAATCACAATAAAACACAATAATAAGTAATGAGGTGTTGGAGCCAAAAAAATAAGTAATGAGATGTTTACATAGCATAATAATGAGATAAAGTTAAACAAATCCTATATAATATCCAAGAAAGCTACGGATTAGGCAACAACGCAATGCGAGCACACAAAAGAAGGAAGTAAACGACTGGATCCAAAACCCATATGTATTAAATTGGGATTTCTTGGTCAGAAAAAAGTTATTGCCAACCTACATTTTACATCACAACATGATTTACAATTGATAAAGAAGAATAAGAAAAACTTTGAAAACGTGGAAAATAGTAAAATGAGAAGAAGAAGAATGGTACCTGGTGGGTTCCGATCCGTGGAGTAGAAAAGCAAGGTCGGAATTAAATTGGAAGAAATAAAGAAATAAAGAAATCTTCAGTCGAAACCTAGAACAATTAAGAACTAGAACCCACTCAAATTTCTCCCAAAAAAAAAAAGGAAGGAAAAATGGAAGTGGGTGTTAGAGATCGATCGATCGAAAGAAGGAAATGAGTTTGAAAGGCGAATCTTAGAATGTATTTGTTGATTTTAGTTTAGAGGTGAAGAGGAAGAAGAAGAAGTAGAGAAGGCGCGCCCGGGCAAAAATCCAAGTGTTAATGGTTGTGTTGTGTCTGCAGACTGTACGCCTTCGTCTGTCTCACAATAATTTTTTTTTTTTTTGCCCTTTTCCTTATTTTCTGCTGTTGCCCAACGCATTAATGTTTCCATTTTTAGTGATTACCGATTTTAAATTGGGCATGAGTACATACCGCACGGCACACGTTATTAATAAGACATTTTTGTTTTAAACCGTCATATTACCACGGTTTCATGAAACAAAAATAAAGAGAAGTATTGAAACTTTTCTAATTTAATTAATAATTACAAAAATTAACAAAAAAAAAATGCGGTCACCATTGCAATTGACGGTCGCAATCTACATGGAGGGGATCGCCGTCCCTCTACCTCAATGATGAGACGAGTCGTGACATCTTCAGTGACAGAATCACAACGATATGTTTCGTAAATTATGATTTGAGTCACGTCCTCCGTTAATGTGATGCCACCAATCCTGACACCACGTCGCAATCTGAGGACACCGCACCAAGATCTGGGGGATCACAACTGAGGTCGCGAGTCTCAGTAAGGTATCAAATCAGAGTAGGATGCCACCCTATCGCTCCCGTCGTTACGATCCGACAACCCCCTCCCCTCAATCCGGCAGCAGCACTTTCAAATATGTGTTGTTTTTCCTTTTTTTTCATTTTTATCTGGTGTATATAAGTCACGTTAATAATGGTGAGTTTGTTTATGTTTCCACCGTAGGATGCCTATCTGATGGACAAAGAATGTGCGCAATGAAAGAGAGAGTGGCGTACGGTATTATAGCAGCAATGTTCTAATTCGTTAACTGTGTTAATTTTGTGAAATGTACACCGGTCCAAAAACATTTTCCTTCAAACCTTTCCTCTCAGATTCACCGTTCACGGCCATATGTTATTCATGAAGCGAACTTCAGCTGTTTAGCTGCTTGCTAGAGTTTGCACACATAATATAAACACATTTGCCAAAGGCAACATCTGGACAAAACTATCTCAGAGCATTCAGCTGCAAGTTTTTACAAAGACTGCATCTTGCCCAAAAATAATTTACGACCGTTTTCTCTGTTAAAGATTACAGAAACCTAGCACCATTTTTTAAAGATGTAAACCAGTCAAAGGCAGGGAAGGTAAAGCAAAATACATAGATACATTATATTATAATAACAATGACAGGAAAATAGCCCCCGGGCATTATGAACAAATCAAATACTTGTAAACAATGGAATCATATGGAACATAATCCAAAGAACTGCAGGAACAATTCCTTCCTTTCGGCACGAACACGCAAGCTGAGAAAATCAAGAGTTTCACGAACTCGGTGTTTCGCCAGTGGGTCCATGTCGGGCATTTAACAGGGGTTGGAGAGCTTTAACAACAATGCTCATGTTCGGGCGGAAATCAGCTTCATATTGAACACACAAGGCAGCAACAGCAGCCATCTACAATACAGACACAGAAATCGGTAGCTCGTTTAAATTTATCAATATCCCAATTCATGGTAAAGAAGACAATGTTTCTTAATCAATCAACCCCTCCAGAAAGCAAGTACCTTCGCAACAGCCTTTGGTGGATAGTCTCCTCCTAGTCTTGCGTCAATGCACTGCCTGACTTTGTCTTCACTGAGTTTTGGGGTAGCCTAACACATACCAGTAACATTGTCAGCTCAGCTGCATAAGAAGAACAAAGTTCCAAGTCCAGAAAATTTTGAAACAGAAAGAGTTGCTGATCAAATCAGCAAAGAGATTAGTACCCATGTCACTAGACTCTGTTGTCCACGTGGTAACGTATGATCAACGGGTTTTCTCCCGGTAAGAAGTTCAAGCAGAACAACACCAAAACTATAAACATCACTCTTTGCATTCAACTGTCCAGTCATTGCATATCTGCCAACCAGGGAAATCGAGAAGATTAAATTGATGCTTAAAATCCATTGAAAGGAAATAAAAACTTTTAATTTTTACTACCTTTAGAAGTTAATAGTTACATTGGCTAGTGCGAGATTCCAAGTTTTCATTCCCCAAAGAATTGTCAATATTTAAAGTTAAATAAAAATGTGACGCGAAGAATTCATAACGACTTACTCAGGGGCATGATAACCAAAGGTTCCTAGAACACGAGTGGAATGAAGACGTGCTGCCATATCAGGAGCTTGATTTGACAAATCAAAGTCTGCAATCTTGGCAACATCATCATCAAAGATCAGTACATTACTAGACTTGATATCACGATGGATGATGTGAGGGTCGGCCTTCTCATGCAGATACTCTAGCCCTTTTGCAGACCCCACAGCAATTTTCACTCGTTGTGCCCATGACAGAACGGGACCAGGCTGTGCTCCTTTAACACCTTTCCTCCCTGCAAGGACACATTATACAAGTTCACATAATTGAGGGCTCTCATTTAGTCACGTATCAAGAGGCCCCATTCAAGAGAATGCAACCTAACTATTAGACCATGTGTTGACTCATTTGAAACATTTGGCTTTCAAATTTGTCTTGCATACCATGTAGAATGTCATGAAGAGAGCCATTAGATGCAAACTCGTAGGCAAGAATTCGCGAGTTTCCATCAACACAATAACCCAGCAATTGAACAAAATTTTCGTGTTTCAGTCTCGACACCATAGAAACCTGTAGGGTTAAACACCAACTTAGAAAACGAATCTAAAATCATTCCAACAGATGAAAAGGGAAAAACAACAGTCTTTATATACAAACCTGGGCTAAAAATTCCTCATCAGGTTGTTTACTGGCATCTAGCTTCTTGATTGCTGCAGCTTGCCCACTTTTAAGCATCCCATAGTACACTCTTCCATATGAGCCCTCTCCAATCAAAGCGGTAGTCCCAAAACTATCAGTGATTTCCTTAAGCTCATCTGCTGGTATGGCAGGAACTTCAATAGGCTGGACTTTCACTGTTTGAGCACCTCGGGGTGCACTTTCTGAGGCATGATAACCCCCGTCATTCCCTAGGTCATGAGATTCAACTCAGTTTAATGCCAATAATATAAGCAATAGAAATAAGGAGGCCTACAGAAAAGGAGACAACTATATTTGAAACGGAAAAGGTACTTGTAAAATTATACATAATAACCTTTCAAAAGAAAACACAACACAAATACAAGTATGTTGTCATAGTGGGGAGATGAAAAAAAAAATAAAAATAAAAAAATAAAAAACCAATACAAGAAAAGGACAGTGCACAAATAATTCTCAATAACAAAAGCAAAGTGACAAACAAGAAGAAAATATAAAGGACAGACACATACAAATGCTTATCCATGACCATGTTAACACCATACTGCCTGTATTCCTAAAACTCAAGTAAAAATAATGACTAATAGCATCCAGCCTCAACTGCAAATTTGACCCTGTTAGTAATTATTTTGCAAAAGTATCAAGTCTCAAACATTGCAACATTAAAAATTGTCATCAGTGCATTTCTTTTTCCCCCTAAAGCAGTGAATAACAATTGCAAGCTATCAACTTTAATGAGGGACCTCTACTTTAGAGTTTAGAAAACGGGAAATACCTGATGAACTTTTCACTGGGTATGCACCTCCACTGTCAGCAGCTTTATGCATATCATCATCTTCACAACAGCCGAAGCAGTTCATGATTTCTAAACGATAGCTGATTCCAAAAACAACCCGTTATAATTAATCGAATAAGCTACACACAAAACTTAAAGGGAAGCAAAAACAAAAAAAGAAGAGACAAGTTTATTAGCATAGAAAGATACATTGGAGGAGGAGAACAACATCATGAAATTTTGTTTACTTAATCATTTATTTGTTTCGACATTAAGATATAGATCATGAATAGATGCATTAAGCAAAATTCATTAATACGGATGTGAATGAATGGCCATAAAGCCCAAAATGTAAGCAAAGCAACTGTCATTCATTTTTGGGAGCCATAATCTAATACTCCATCAGAACCCCAATGATAAAAACACACGAATTTAAACGGTTCTGAATAGTAATCTTATATTCAATGACGTATGGGCTGGCAGTTCAGCATGAAAAAATAATTTGTTAGGGCCTAGTGGTAAAAAAGACTTGGACAAAATAGTAATTTCAGTTTGAAAAATGATGTATATCATAAAAGATAATAATACATATCGTAAAAGAATATGAAACTAAAACAGAAGCACAGAACTTCTATATGAAAGTAATTGAATTGGGAGAGAACAGTAATTTCATTTTTTTATAAGACACTTTAAAATTTTAGCACCAATGATTTCATAATATTGAAGTTGTTAGGTCTAAAAAGAATTGACACCAAAACTCTAATTTTAGTTTTACAAAGTTTATAGAATTTCGACACATAAATGTCATGATTTCCGCAATGATTTTATTTATTTATTTATTTATTTATTTATTTATTTATTTATTTATTTATTTATTTTTAAGGATGTGTATGAATGTTCGCTACTAAACAGGCATTTGGTACTTCTAGAATTCTAGTCACCCCCAGTCCCACCCGCCTACAACCAATGATCCTTACCCAACTCCAATAATTTCTATTTAAAAAAAAAAAAAATGAGAAAACGCATTATTCCACGATATAGTATCCGATCAATAAGCGACCGATAAAGTTTGTTTCGATAAAGTTTTCATCTAAAAGAAAACACCAAAAACAGTATAATCGAACGGGATCGATCCTGCTAACGAGAATTTTGACATCCAACAACCACTCTAATGTCAGATTCACTTCAGAGTAAGGATTCCTCAAACAAAAAAACAAAAAGAAAAAAAGAAAAGAAACACAAAAATTCTGAGAGAGAAGAAGCGTACCGTGGAAATCAGAAAAGCAGAAAAAAGTCGAAGCTTGAAGAGATCTGAGCTTGGAAGCCGGCGAAGGGTGCGTATGATAAGCGAATTGGGGTGCGCAGGGTAAGAGCGCCGGAGGAGAGAGCGAGAGAGAGAGGAGAATAAAGAGAATTGGGGTGCGCAGGGTAAGAGCGCCGGAGGAGATAGAGAGAGAGAGGAGAAGGGTAGAGAGAGAGAGAGAGAGAGAGAGAGAGAGAGAGAGAGAGGGAGAGAGACTTGACTTTGATTCACTAACAGTCCTTTTTAGGAGAGTTTTTTTCTTATTAATATTTGATTGCATTGTAAATGTATTTAATCTAATCTAACGTATTAGTGTAAAATAATAATGTATTAGAAGAAAGAAAGTGTAATAATTAAGAAATAGCGCTTCGCAGCAAACCCAACTTGACCAACTGACTTCCACTTTCCACTGCCGCTGTCAAAATTGGAAAATTTACCATGATTGCCCTTCATTATGACGTGTCGGCTCATCATTGACTGGCATATTAAAAAGTTGTCGGCTTTTGCTGACTAGTCGCCTCATACGATATTTCTCTAATTTTATTTTTATCCTTTTTTTAATAATGTATTTGCCTAGTTTATTACATTACTATTTACCATACGTCTTTTTTTACTCGCGGTTCTGCCAAAGAAACCGTTAATCACGCGCTAATCTAATTCAGCTAAAAAACAAAATTTACGACAAGGGGGAAACCAGTATGACACTGTGTCTCTTTCTTCTATTTGGGGAAAAAGACATATAGTCTATTTATTTATTTTTAAAAAAATGCGACGAAAAAAATAAATAATGAAAATAAGAGGATTATTTCGTTTTCTCTCGATCATGCTTTCTTTATATTATAATTAATTAATACAAATTACAAACATGAAAAGAGTATGAAGGTGTTTCCTTTTCTAGAGGTTGAGGAGTTGGTCGTGGACTTGTAACACCAAACGAAAAGGTAGAGTCCAAGGACTAATTCTATATATATGATGTTGCTAAATTCTCACCTTTATAAATTCTATTGCTTATTCATTTTGATATTATTTTTTCATGTCCATATGGTGGTAAAATGCCTACTATATCTAGTTGAAAAACAATAATATGATTTCCATACCCACAGGTTATTGAAAATGCCTACTATATCAACTATGTTAAAGAAATCATAAGTTTTTTTTTTTTTTTGGTAGGAGCGGCGATTCATGCTCAAAATCATTTTTTTTATGTGAGCTTGGATTTGTTTAAAAATTTATAAATCTCAATAAAATTTTGTTTATTAACACTTAATAAAAACCTTGATATGACACAAGTTATGCAATCCGGTTATATTTTTTCTTCATTTTTTAAATTTAAACTATAGACATTTAATGTTGAGGTGGACGTAAAATTATCACTAAAGAGTTTTTAGTTTTAATAAAAAAAAATGTTTACGTTTAGATTATCACAAAACTATTTTTAGCTAAATTAGCTATTACTTTTTTAAAGTTATGTTATATTTATCTTTAACATTAATCACCAGGTCCTCAATATTGATTAAGAACTAGCGGCTGAAGTTTTGCCTATTATAATTTGCTCTAAGATCTCATGAGATTCAACCCAATAATTTTCTCCCCTATTCCCAACAGAAGTTTAGTACAGCCGACAATTTACTGCTGCGGTTTTTTTTTTTTTTTTTTTAACGAAACAAGAAAAGAGAGCAAATAAAGTAAACTTCAGGTGATTCCAATTACATGCCCAATTATTTAAATAAATCAACAGGACAATGATATATATATACACACACGTATAAAAAATGATGTCACCTCAGAGGAATGGGAAAATGAAATAATAGAGGTAATCCATGATTACTTACGGCAGCGTGTATTTGTTCCAACCATGCACATGCTTAATCATATGGAGTTAGTTTATCAATATGTTTTTGCAATAGAAATTACGAAAAATAAGATTTTACATATACATGATGTGATTAAACTAAATATATCGGGTAAGCAACATTATGGGGAAGTAATTAGATACGCAATGAACTTATATTTGAGCATTAGAAGACAATATATGCATATTCATAAGAATCATATTGTCTCGTCCAGATAATAATAATAAGGCTTAATCTAATTGGGACTCTTGTCTACCACATGACAAGGTTGGGAACAGTTTTGGAAGGAGTTTGTCAGGTAGGAAGGGCACTTCAGAGAAAATGTGCATGTTGCTTGTATATCTCATGAGTCTGCTAACCCTTAACTAGAAGAATATATTATTGTTTGAAATAGATCTCGTGTATTGGCTTTTGTTTTAAGAACAAAATATATATATATATATATATAAATAATATCCGGTAAATTTCATTTATCTCCTAAATTATGGTGCTTACGGCATTTACACCCTCTTTCAAAGAAGTTTCGCCACATTGTCGCCCGTACTTTTCTAATCTTTTGTAATAACAACCGAGGGAGTGAAATTAAATTATCTACAATAAAGCAACCACAATCGATTGTTCAATCACATGTGGCATACAATTGGCTCCTTTTTGAGCTAATTACAATAGTCAAATGAGAATAAAGTAAAATAGTTTGGCCAAAAAAAAAAATTCACGGCATCGTATAGGCCGTTTACAGTAGAAAGATAAAAAAGAAATCAAAAGATTTGATAATATTTTGCTCCTTGCCCTTATTCATAATTTGTTTGCCAATTTACGCGACAAAATGCCGTTAGAAAAATTAACATGAATTAGCAAAGTTCATATTGTAAAAAAGTGGAAAGTATTGGGAGAAATATGCCAACATCTTTTTTTATAGGGGTAAAGTGTCAAGGGTTCCATGGTTGCGGGGTCTAAAGAGCAATTTAACTTTAGTTATGTCATGTGGTGTTGGACATAATAAAGGCTTGATGTGTCTTAATGGCCGTTCTTTTACCCTTTTTGAGTTAAGTGATTTGAGTGTAGATTTTGAATTGAGTTTGAGTTATAACTTGAGTTAAAGTTGTAACTTGAGTTTGTGTTTGGTTGTATACATTTTAGTTATGGTTTGAGATAAGAATCTTTTTGAGTTTGTGTTTGAGTGAGTCAAAACTTGAATTTATATTTAAATAGTATTTTAATAAAAACTCAATGCTGATAGAAAATTTTAATAGGGTATATGGGTGGGGTTTTATTCATCTTTTCATTTTGAACGCATAGAAAAAAAATCATCTCAATCAGAATTAAAACGAAAAAGTTATAGCATTTTTAAGAATAGAAAAAATAATGTTCATTAATTTGAGTTCGAGTTTCTGAACTCGAGTTGAAGGGGAAACTTGAACTCAAATTTTAATCTCAAACTCGAGTTCAAACTTAAACGAACATGAACTTAAATAAAATTATAACTCGAGTTACTTTTTTAAATTTTTAACTCAAGAAATGAGTTGCCGAACAGTCCCTTAATATTTGGGTTGGAGGTGGATTAAGAAGATTTGCAGGTCTTGGTTAGATTCAGGGCCTCATGTGCCCACTACCTACCCATAACCTACTAACTAAATTAAATCCCAAATAAATTGAGGAGAGGACTAGTCCAAAGCAAAAATTCATATAAAATACATGGCAATTGAAGAGTATAAGTATGTATATATATATATATAACCAAAGGGAAACAAAATTTCATATTAAAAAAAAACCAGTTTGCTCGTGGTTTTAACTACAATGGCCACCCTCAAATTAAGAAGATAAAATGGGAGAAAATACATAAATAAAACACAAGTAGTACTAGAGGTACAAATTTTTTATACAACTCATGAAGCGTCAATTGTATCTTTTCGCTGATTTATGTATTTTTTTTTTTTACTATTAATTGATTAACATTGTTTCAAATACTTATCATTGATTAAATGATAACTTATGACATGTCATATATACAAATATCTAATTTAAGGGCATAGAATACCTTGATATCAGGTTTTCAAATATTATTCACAGAACAAATTAGTCGAAAAGTATGGGCGTGTTTCAAACTCGTTTTAAAATGATTTTGTTTTTTGTATGAAAATTAAAATGAAAACGTTTTCAATTTCAAACATAAATTATTTTTGAAAATGTGTTTGGTAGTTTTATCAATAGATTGTTTTCAGTATAAAAAACTCATTAATGTCTCTCTTTCTCTGCTTGAGAGAGGAGAAAACGAAAACAAAAAATGAAAAACGATTAAAAGTCATTTTTCTTTTCTCTCATTTTACACTAAACTAAAAAAATCATTTTTATTTTTATTTTTTATCTTTATTGCACCAAACGCCATTTTGAAAACATTTTCATTTTTCTTTCTTGAAAAATGTAAAAAATAAAAAGGAGATCAATTTCAAACACGTCATATATGTCTAGAGGTATAAAACACCTCATATGTTGCAACCATAACATTATTGTATCTATATGGCAAAATATGTAGAAGTCTTCAGGGTTGGTTTGGTTGCATTTTTGCTCTTACCAAAAAATTAAAAAAATAATAATAATAAAAAACCACCCCTTTTTTGAGACATTTATCTCCACCCTTTTGAGTTTGAAAATATTGTTGCAATTAGTGATGCATTTATGGATTTTTTGGTTGCTAGATTCATGTTATGATTTAAATCATAGTTCGTGGTTCGTTACATATTTTCTCTTACAAAAAACACACATAAATTGAGAATAATTTTAAATCATAATTTTGAATCCATGAATCAGTAATTTTGTCTGTACAATTGTCATAATATAACACGCCCAAATGAAATCCATATGAAGCCAAATTAAAAGTGCCGTGAAGTGTTAAGAACTAAAAAATGATTCCCTCCAATGTCATAACTAGAAGGGTGTGTTTTTGTTTTTTTTGTTTTTTGGTCTAGAGTAATTTATTTGTAGATACTCATACCATGGCCTATACGAAATAGATTAATATTATTTGAAGTACGTACCCAACATGGAAGGATTATATAATTTGGAAGCAGATCTTCATGGGTCCAACGTTTGATGGCACACACATTCAACTCCACCGCCCATCTTCACCCCACCCTTTGATTGACTAAAAAATTCAATTTATTATCTCCATTACTAACTTAGTCAACTAATAAAGTGGAACTCTGTTTGTTTTTTTTTTTTTATCATTTGTCATGGGACAATTTCTTTTTTTAATACATGTGTGAAAGGTGATTAGCAGTAATTTCCTCACATTAACAATGCAATAATCACATAATACGTTATAACGGTCGAATAAAGAAACAAAACATTTTCTTTTTTCAAATTTTGTTATGTAACTTTGCGTGTGTGAACGACGAATACTTTCTAATT